CTTTCATTCTCTCAAACTCAAAACACTCGAAAGATCTTTACACTAGCTTTTAGCGTAGTGCAAGGGATAGAGATAAGCATAAGCCAGCCAAACTGGCAATTGAAGGTTCAAATGAATTTAGGGCTAGGAATAAATCATTATTCTTATTTAAGATTAGTGCACTCAGTATAAAAGCATGTTAAGCCAGCAAGAGCTGTAAAGACTAGAGTTACAAATGGAATGACAGATGTAAAATTATGGGTTTGCTGGCGGCAACACACGACGAAGTCGGGTGTTGTCGCCAGGGCTAGCTTGAAAGAAGGGTGCAATCTCAAACATGATCCTCCTTCTTCTATCTGTCTTTCTGCCGAGGTATTGCAGCTCCCGCTGACTTAATCTCTCATCGGTCCCCTTTAAGACTAAGGTTGAAATTTGTTGAAGGGTGGCGTGACTGGGTTCGGTGTTTCGAGAGCTACCACTGTACTCGTGTACAGTAGTAACTCCTCTTTGGACCGCTCTTGAAGAACTTGCACCCATAACTACAACCACCAAACTATCAAGCAATAATCCCATGATTCTGCTCTTAGTACATTCTGGTTTGCTGAATGCTACCAGCTCCTGTTGGTGGTGGCGTTGCTGCATCTAAGGACATCAGCCCTATCTCTATTTATCTCCTCGTGTTGCAAATTGTCATTTTTAGAAGTTCTCCCACCAGCCATCGTCGAGCGCAAAGGGGTAGCTGTGCTCAAATGAGAATTCTATGTCAATGAAATGATCCATGTGGCGCATGCAGATGTCAACACGGTTGGCATCTGAATGGTGCATAACCATCTTCTCCATCCGCTGGGGTGCATGGTTCCCCCCAAACCAAGCAACCATGAATGCCTGGAACGGGAAGAGCTTATCCAAAACAGTTTTTTCCAGTTGCGCCCACCCCTTGTGGCAGGTGTTTCGGTGGCGGCTGTTGGGAACGCCGGCTTTTTTCACTTTCCCCAAGAATTCCTCCATCTTGGTCCCATTGAGATAGAAGTAGCCGTCGTTTGGGAGGTGAATGACCAAGGTCTTCTGTGTATTGCCACTTGCTGTCTCTCGGATTTTGACTGAGTACTGACACCCCCATGTTAGGTCATCCAATATGTACTCAAACGTACCCTTAGACGCATTTGCTTCAGCCCGAGTCATGCTGCTGACATTAGCATAAGAGTAGAAGGGATCACTGAATGAAGAAAGGCGGGCCTGCCACGCAGCCAAGTTTTGGTTGAGATGAGAAATGTCGACTCGGTGCCGAAACACTCCAGGGATTGAACCAGGCTTGTCACCGATGCTGCGCTGCTTTGCCAGTTCTTCTCCAACGTAGGTTGGGTCCTGCTTCCAAAGCAAATACTCATCCTTTCGGATAATCTCCAGGTAAAGAGCCTTGACCAGTGAATCCTCTTCTGTTGTTGTTGTCATCCTTGCTGTTATTGCCAGTGGTACGCTTTGTTCCTCGGTTGCTCCGTTGCTCCATTGCCGCTTTCTCCTTTGCCACCAGCTGCAACGGGTTTGGATGTTTGGCTCGCTACCTAGCTAGGGAAAAAAGACCTCGCATTCCCTCGTTGCGCGCGTCACAGCTAGCTAGCTTGTACTGTACCAATAGTGGTATCATACATGCTACTGGGGGGGCCAGCATAAAAGGGAATTTGTGGGTATAATGGATTCTAAAAGCTTTCTAAAGGTGTTATGGCAGGATAATGGTAACAACTCATTGTTAAACTGTGTACAGACCTTCCCCAAAGTATTTGCCTTGGTTTCAAGCACTGTCAGCTGCCTACCTTCTATGCTGGCCCCCCAGTAGCTACCGGTAGACTTCAAACTTTCCAGACGATCGTGAATTGTGAGTCTGGCCAAAGATTGACAATCATTCGTGCCGAAGATGACCGAGCAGTCATGGGAATGGCATCTTTTTACTCAATCTTCTCCCATTGATTGTTGTTGTACCACCGAAAGCTGAACAGCACAGAAAGACACCAAGGGATTGCTTTGTTGTACTGGTATACCAAAGGAACCCAACAGCCATCTGCTAGCTAGCTAGTACCGATACGAGAAGAAGCCTTGACAACCGAAGCCTTGACAACCAAGCTGTTTGAAAGTCCAAACAGTCGTCACTTGGCAGTCTCCTCTATCTTGATTTATCTTCATTGTGCGGCTTGGCGGCGGCCATAACAATACCAATAG